TTCTGTGATAACTTAAAAACATCAAACTTGTATGGGTTGATGGGAAAAGGGAGAAAAAAAAGAGTGTATTCATAAAGATCTGCAAATGACTTATAATATTTAGTGATAATAATAGAACATCCACATACTGCCACATAAACACATGCCCACTGAAGTAAAATGGGAAAACAAGCAAAAAAATCGTATCTATTTTACACTCATTTGAATGAATTAGAGAAGCTTTGGCCTGGATAACACTGATGTACATTGCATGTTAGGGATGAAATGGGAACTGGAAGAGTGAATTCCTGCTATGAACGAAAGGCAGGACAACGGGTACCTCCTGTGGTACCTCCTGTGTGCACAGATGACAGACTTTGCAAAATCTCATCGTCTACAAGAAGGTGAGTTCTGGCAGTAGCTTCACACTCACGCTGATTCTTCAGCTGCATGGAACAGTACTGATAAAAGAACTGTTTGGGTGGGATTCATCTCCTCCAGCTTTACACACATTTACATTTGAGGGTTCTCCGATTGAGAAAGAGAGAAGTAAGTACTTCTGGGCTATAGTTCATCCCATTTTAAAGTCTTACTCAGAATAAGTCAGGTCAGTCCTTACTGAGAAGCATCTGTTTTATTTCACTGAATAAAAAAGGAGCTGAGGACGACCCACTGAGTGGATGGCTACAGTTAGGTGAATTAACCTCTCCTTCTTTCCTCTTTCACTTTAAATGACACATCCAAACTCATCTGCAAGCCTATGTGGATATGTAATTGCTCAAGGAAATTGAGTCTGGTGTTTCATCATTTAAACCTTTTTATAATAGCAGTTCTCTGTACCAAATGTGTTTATTATTTTATCCAGATCCCCTCATTCGTGTTTGGTCAGTATCTTCTGAAAAGCACTCTAAAGTCTTATATGAGTGAGAGTGATGTGAATAGGAATCATAAAAAGCAATTACCCTTGTCTGGTATCTTACCAGATAGAAGAGAAAGGGACTGTTGGTAAAAGCATTTTAAAGAAACAGCTACTTATATACAGCATAAAAAATTGTAAGGTCGCAATGCAGCATGGCCTTCACACAAACAGTTCAGGATTAAATGCACTGATGCAAAACATAATTGAAATACACGTTAAATTAGCAAATCAGAAAATAAAACCTTATTTCTTGTTTCCCCAAGATCATTACTGACCGTAGAGTACAGTGATCTTCAAGTCATAAACATTCATGTGCGTCACTTAGAGGAATATTTTCCAATCTATTTATAACTTGATTTCTTACTTGGACATGGTTTCTATCTGTCGGTCAATATTATAAGCATCTGCCCTATGCCAGCAAACTAATGAGTTCATTTTTACCATGAAGTCAGGAGCCATCTTTCTACATGTCATGTCTTATACACATCACACTGACACTGCCTCGAAGAGTATAGGCGGTAAAAATAACTATAAAAGCATGTTTCAATAGTAAATAAAGATTTTTTTAAATACTACATAGAAAACTTAACCCGTTAGTACTCACCACCAAGGCTTTAGACCTGTTACTTAGAAGTTTTTCAATGTCTCTGGCTGCAATTTCCACTAGCTGACGAGGGTTGTTTGCTTCTACAGTATACAACTCTTTTTTGTTCTTATAAATCTGCAAGAGGAAAAAAAATGGAAATTAATCAAAATGACACTAGACATTCAAAATAATCCAATTGACTTGACAGAAGAGGCATCAAGATGTCCTCTGTCTTACTAGGTAGCTTCAGGAAGACTACTGCTAGGACATTCCGAATGGGCCCTGTGAAAAAAACACTTCACCTTTTTGTCTGAGAGGTAGAAGCTACCACTAAAGATCATTTAATAAATCTTCAAAACTGGTTTTATTGATAAAATACCAAACTGCTAAATGCTCAAAGAATCTGATTCCTATGGATTGCTAAGAAAGAAGTAAAATGGAAATCCTTTAAAATGAATGAATTTGAAATAAAACAGTTACTGCTGAATTTAATTCTTCCTTGAACGCTGAACAACAAATACCAATGGAAGCAAATCATTTAAGTTATGCTAATGTAATCAGTTTAGTCCCTTATCTATTTATTCATATGATAGTGTTAGTATTCATGAGGAAAGAGGAAGAGGAACAAATAGGAAAAGAGGAACAAAGGGAAAAGTAAAACAAAAAGGGGAAATGGGGAAAAATTAAAAGGGAAAAAAGATGGGGGTTGGAAGGAGGGCACAGAACTATAAACGTGTTTCTCCTCTATCATGAATAAAGGTTATCTCTGAGGATCGATTAACTGTCTCCAAAGCAGAACACGTATATGAAGTAGACGATTTGATTTGTTAAACAAAGCCACTATAATGAATTGCATGTAACCACAAGAACTAAAGAAGAAAAAAAGAAGCAAAAAACACATTTGCCAATCTCCGTTGTACAAAACCTGGATAAAGAAAAAATACAGTATTTGGGGGAGGAAAAGAAAAAAAGGGTGGATACCTTATGGCTAGATGGGCAAATGGGGAAAACTAATTTATGCAGCCAACAGATGGCCTGAGTTTACTCAAGTACTTTGCCTCTCCGTAAGGCTGCCTGGTGGGGGCTGTGCTGTCTCCCGGGGAGTAATTCCACGCACAGGCAGGAACGAATCCAGCACTAATGCACTGGCTGCCATCCAGCAAAAGAGCCAAAAATCTGCCGACCAGACTGAGTCTACCAGCCCCGCCAGGTTTCTCGGGTTAAAGCTATGGAGACCTTAAAGAAACTCACCAAAATATGTCCCTTCTGATGCTTGTAGCTGATAAGTATCACCAAAACTTTTCTGACAACTACAATTACAGCTGCAAATTTTTATCAGGCATGTCCCATAAGCTGTCATCGGTTTTCATCACTTATGAATTTTACAACACTTATGTTGGGATTTGGGGTTTTTTTCCTTCAGAAGTACAGTCTTTCCACCAGTAACTGAGTAATAGGAAAAAGATTTAATTATTCATACAGTAGCAATCATTTAAAAAAATCAGTGAATTGGGAGCAGAAAACTACTATAAAAGAAGACAGTTTCTAATTAACTCGGATTATAGCTTGGATGCTTTTGAGATGCTTCATTTTCAAAATAGTAACACAGAAAGTTTATCTCAGGTAAAACCCCAACTCTCTTTTTTTAGGGGTTGTGTTTTTTGGGGGTTTTGTGTTTTTCTTTGGTTTGTTTGTGTTTGGGGGGTTGGTTTTAGACAGATCTTAATAGCAACTGTCTTATAAGCAAATTATTAAACAAAAAAAAAATGGAAATAAAGACATTTTATCCTACAACTTATCACTCTGAAACACATTAAATTTGCAGTCAGTAGTGTCATTTGGAGTTAAATTGACTGTAGTGACAAAGAGCCCTATAGTCCTACAGGCAAGGCAAGAGTAAAAATCAGTTTTATACATCCAGATGGTCTGAATCAAGACTGTAAATTTCAAAGGAACATCTAAATTGGAATGACCATCAAATCTGGTAAAACTCTCAGGTTTTTCCATCGTCAGCAAATATTCACCTTGGTCACACAAGGAACAACACTATGGGTGTTACCAGCTGTTCATGTCTTAGTTTTCGAAAGCAATGTAATGGCAAATTCTTTGAACTTCATTCATGACTGCATGAAGTACACCTGCATCCAAAGGTTACTAAAGATATAGAAGAATGGTAACAAGGTTTTGTAAATAGGCTATAGCTATGTTGCTACTCAACAGTGAAAGCAGTAATAAAAATTCAGTATAAACTTTTCGTTTGGCGATTCAATTAGACAGAAACATCTTAAAACCATCCCTGGAGGTTTTTAAGCAGAGATTGGATGTGGCCCTTAGTGCTATGATATAGTAACTGGAGTTGGATCAGGGGTTGGACTTGATGATCTTGGAGGTCTTTTCCAACCCAATCTATTCTATGATTCTATGATTCTATGAAAACTTGGAGAAAGCAGTAGTTCATTGCAAAAATGTAATTTCGTAGTAATTTATTTTTTCACTCAACATTATAAATAAACATTAAGAGAGTCACAAGAAAATTCACTGTAGAGGCACAGTGAAATATGGGCTCAAGTAATGCAGGTTTGGAGCAGATGGATGACAAGGATGACTGGGAGGCTGCACTGAGTAGCTATACAAGGGCAAGTGCTGGTTCTCTGATCTTTAAGAATTTAGTGAAATACTCTAACAGGCTGTGATCCAATAGCTTCAGAAGTTAAGGTGATAACATACTGCATCCAGGCAACTATAACTTTGCACCCCACCAACTAGAGAAACAGTATGAGTAGCCTATTTGACTTAATCGTATAATCACAGAATGACCTGGGTTAGAAGGGACCTGCAGAATATCGAAGTGTTGTACAGTTGTAGGAAAAAAATAAACATGTTCATTTTTCTTCTCCAGCACCAGCTATCAAAAAGTTCAAAAGCGTGAATCATATAACAAGCAGATCACCACCAAATGAGACCAGAGCACTATTAAAACCTTTATAACAGACACTGTGGGTCCTACCACCAAGAAAGCCTGACTGTGACACTGGCTTCATAAGCTGCTATTTGTCGGTGATTTCAGAAAAATGAAATTCAGAACAACACCACCCAGAGGAAACCCCTTTGAGATTTGCACAAGATCCCATATAAAGCTAATCAGTGACTCTTCTTCCCTTTTTTGCTTTAGCCCATGGCAGGGCTTGGAGCACCAATCTCCCCTGCTTCTACCTGCCAATGAAAGATTTACCCCACAAGCTTCTAAACAAATGGCATAAGAAATTACTCAGAACTTCACGCATTTCCCTATTTTCCTGGAGTGTGAGACCTGTCTCAACTACCAAGCAACAGTCTAAGAAATATTCACTAATTATTTAAGAGGTATGTATATAACTTATTTGTTGCCTACTACCCTTTTCTTTAATTCACCATAATAGTGCAGCAGTTCAGCTCAACACTACACAGGGCAATGACAGACACCTCAGGATTTGTAACACTGGGACAAAATTTTTTCTCCAAGCCTCTCATCTAGCAGTCAAACACAATTAGCAAAAGCTCATCTCAAATAGCCATAAAGGGTCTTATTGGCAAAGGTGTGCTCATTCGTCTTTCAAAATGCAATTTGGCAGCCTCCATGGCTTGTTAAAAGCTAATTTGAATACAATTTATTAAATTGCTTTGACCGAGTGAATGCAAGTTTCTGTTGGCTTTTACATTTAAAATAATTTTTAGTACTTTAATCACTAAAGTAGAACTAAAAGCTCTGCAAATTGTCAGTAAAACCCTATTGCTTCTTGCAGATAAAAATCTCATTGCATGACTAAGTAAAATCTGCAAGGTCATAGCACAGAAACACTTTAATTTTTTCCGAAGTCAATAGCCATGCACTTCTTTATTCAGGAAAGACTGTATTAAAATTGCACATAATGAACTGCAAGGTTTTAGGGGAGAGAACATGATGGGGAGAGTCATATTTAAAGTGAAACAAAACAACAATAGTTGAATGTGGCAAAGATTAGAAAAACTGCCAGCACCTCAGCAGAATGTGCCTCTCTCCATTCAGTCTTCAAGGACATGTTTATAAATCTCTCACAAAGAGACATTCTCCTTGGTTCCTGTAAGGCTCACAAGGGCAAGTCAAACATTTCTGTACAAATTGAGAGAGAATGAAAGATGCCATTACATGACTCTTGCTATATTGTAGCAGGCCTTGGAGCTGGCTTTAGCATTGAAAATTTATTTAAATGGCAATCATGCTCTATCATACTCAGGAAATGAATTATTCTCAACTACAGTAGAATCACTTTGCCTGTTGTTTATTTGTTTGTTTGTTTTCAAAATGTCAGTCTCACAGTTTAAGAAACAACAGAGTTTTTTATTTAGGCAGTGGTAACCTGGCTGAGAGCCCAAACATGGAACATGAACAAGCCAATCTCCTTGCCATCACCAAATACTTTCATGGATGTAGAAGTCATACAAGCCTAGTTCAAACCCAGAATTTCAAAACTCACCGTTACTTTTCCTACCTTGATATATGCTTTGGAAAAGAGAAACAAAATAGCTCAACAATTCCAGTAATGCTTATCTGTCCCAGGTAAATGTATGGATGTTTTTAATATTTCAATACTGCTTTCAAGACCACTCAGCTCAGCTGGGCTGAAGGGACAGCTTTTTCAACAAACAATGCTTTATCACCAAAAGTTTTATCACCAGTCTAGACCAACTGGAAACTCCCATGATGGTAAAACTACTGCTCAGAGATACTATGGAACTTGCAAGCCCAAATCAACCAAAACTTTGTGGTGAGTCTTCCTCCATCTTTTCCGAAAACAACTACACTAAAATACTAAAAGTATTTGTGAAATCTTGAGCCAGGTTTTATAAGCTTATATACTGAAGTAATTAACTTAATAAATAAATTTTAAAATCCCTCTGAACATAGTGTAACTTAAATAAAGGTTGTGTAAACTATTCCCTTCCTGCCCACTCCCCACTTCTGGAGAGGATCTCCCATGGCCAGTTCCCCCAGTCCTTCCAAAAAGTCTTTTTCTACTACCTTTTGGCCCTAACAGACCTCAGTGACCATGATCTGCCTCTCCAGGAACCTCTGCCTGTACCCCTGCCTTTACTCTGCCCACCAGCTCTATTTTAAC